CACCCCACGGAATCATCCCAGATTTGTAACTAATTGTGTTATCCGTGATCAATTTTTTGTGACCAGACTTGTGCTATATGTGACTAACCGTGATCAAATTTGTTTTCAGTGTGACTATCTGTGACCATTTAATTTGAAAATGTATGTAATCAAGTCACTAACTTGTGTTATATGTGACTAACTAGGACCAAATTTGTCTTTGTTGTTATTGTCTGTGATCGTCTAATTTGTGATTGTACATAATCAAGTCACCAACCTGTGTTATTTCTGGCTAGTTGTGATCAAATTTGTCTTTAGTATGACTAACTGTAGCTAAATTTGTCTTTAATATGACTATCTTTGACCATGTCAATCTTTACTATGACGGTATGTAATCAAGTCACATTTGATCATAATTAACAAAAAATTGGTCACAACCAATCATAATAAATACATGCCTGGTCATAGAGGGTCACCACAATTAAATTTGTATACACCATACACTAGCACCACCAATCACCGCCAATGCACCACCTCAAATACATGACTATATATTAATCTCAAATCCACAACAACAACAACAATCACAATCACAATCACCACCACCACCACCTTCGACAAACCGACCATTGCATAATCACTGTTTATGAAAATTAGTCTTTAAACGTAGATTTTTAGGTAATTTTTCCATATACTTCTTTTCTAAATTTTTAGAAATATAGCAACATTTCAGAGTAGACAAAACTTCCCTGCATTGTTACCAAAATAGCCTCAACCTATAATAATTGAAGTAAGAAAATTAAAGTATGGACTGTGAATAAGAAGTAAGATGATAGATTTATATTCTTTGTTTACAAAGTTAAATCTTGCACCTGACATTGATTTCCATAGCCCGTTTGAATAAGGTTGAATAACACTGTTAGGTCGAATTTGATATTCTAATATGTGTGTGGGTGTGTGTGTATATGCCTAGTCTATTTTTTGCTGTTGTCAAGTAAAGCTTTATATAATTCAAATAAAATTATATGAAAATTTTATGTTATAGAATGTGTGTATATGCCTAGTCTATTTTTTGCTGTTGTCAAGTAAAGCTTTATATAATTCAAATAAAATTATATGAAAATTTTATGTTATAGAATGCTAAGTGAAGATCATTGTTTCGATCTCTGAAATCATTTATGTGTGAGATGAGTTGAAATGTTTATTGAGACGACAATGATAATTTGATGTTAAATTGTTAGAAAGGAAATAATAATACTACTAGAGATTAGTGTTAAATAGAAAAGACTCCGTTAAATTCCTAAAGTATTTATCCCAGTAAATAATTCTTTTAACAAAACTATGTTAAGCCCTATTTGGAATTAGTCGCCCTACGTAATATACATGTGACGGTTAATAATTTGTTGTATAAAATAATAAAAAACTACCACATTAATATACGAAATCACTAATCGCTATGTGTATGCTACATATGACGACTATGGCAGTGGATGACTGCAAATAGCATTGCTCTTTGAAATTTGTTAAAATCAAATTTTAATGAGATTTCGCATTTTATAACAATAGATTCCTGACTTTAAAAATGATATTCCCTCGTTCACATGCCAAAGCATTTAGGGCATCTTCCATGGTTGCACCATTTTTTGGTGCAAAGTTGCTCCAATGCAACACCAAACTTTGCATCATTTTGGTGTAAAATGTAAAATATCTCTTTTACCCTTATTTAACATTTCTCAAATAAATTTGTTAAGGGTATTTATGTCATTTGTGCTATATATTTTTTAATACGATAAATTATTATTATTTTATTAATATCATTTTCATTTAAAATAAATTTTAAATGCAAGACATAATAATTAATAAATTAATGAAAAGATGAAAACAATTTAAAATACATCAAACACGATTATTTATGAAAGTTAGCACGAAATATATTAAATAGTGACATACATACGATAATCTAATTTTATTTTTAAAAAAATGATACATAAAAAGTGCATAGTTCAGTAATCTGAAAGATCACATCCAGATCCTCCAAAATCGCTAAAATAATTTCCAAACAAATCAGATAAACTTTCAGATCCTATATCTTGTTGTTGAGATCTCTTCTAACAAATTATTGTTTGTTCGTTTTGCAAGCACAAACGTACGTGTGAATCTGTTATCGAACTCAAATCTGTCAACAAAATTTTATTCTCCTCACGATATTCTGTCATTGCGAATATTTTTTTTGTTGGATTTCGTAATCCCGTTGTCTTTCCTCACTACATTGTTTCATAATTTCGAGAATTTGTCGGTTCTCTTCTTTAATGGATGTAAGTAATTTTATACCTTCATAATTTCGAGAATTTATTGTCTATCCAAATTCGAAATGCATTGTACTATTTTCTGATGGCATGATTTTATATTTTCGTTGTTGTAGTATTTTTATTAATTGTTCTATGTTTTTAATATTTATTAATGAATTTAATCTTTTCCGTAATTTAATGTAATTATTTATTTAGTAATTTATGTATTTATGAAATAATTAAATAAATAATATTTCAAATAAATAAATTATAAAGAATAAAAAAGGGGGAAGAAAATGGTTAAACACTGTTCGTTTGGTGTAATTTTTGGTGTAATGATTGGAGATGAATTTTAGTTTGGTACAAGATTTGATGCAAAATTTAGTACAAAATGATGCAAAATTTGGTGTAGGGTTGGAGATCACCTTAGAATAGGGAAAAGGCCGTTGAAAAGGATATAATCCAAAATACTCTAATTCCTCATCTTACATTGACCAAAATGACCCTATCAATTATTAAACAGGGGTAAATGGCAATATATTGAGTTGAAGGATAATTTGGGAAGTAAAAAATTACAATCATGCCACTTGTACATTTTATTTGACATTTTGCCACGTATCGTAGCATGATTAGACAGTTTTTAAAAACTGCACACTTTCCCGCCAACAACATTTTGAATTTCTAAAGCATGTCAAACTTCTTGTACAATGTAGAATATAGAAGAAGCTTTATTCGAAAAACTAATAGTGTAATCACCCTTTGCAGAGTCAACACTCTTTTTTGTGAAACTGACAAAAACCGACAGTGAATGACAACGATTACAGTAAAAAAAAAAAAAAAGAAAGAAAAGGACAGATCTCATTAAAATGGAGATCAAACATACGCAACATTGTGAAAACGTGTCTTTGTAAAGATTAATCCCATGATTATTGTGATCGAATGTTTCTTGGATTCTTCCATACTAAACCTCATTAGCATCTCATCCATGTACGTAAATTGATTTAACCTCTTGGATTTATCTCTATCGATATAAAGTCTAGTAGGACGTCTTAGTTATTCTGTAACTTTCTTTCATGAAATGTTAGCTTCTGACCGGGCCAAAGGTCTTAACAATTGTATTTTAAATAATTTCTAAGTAGAAGTGATGATTAATGAGGAGGGTTCTAGCAAACTACAAGGCGATGAACCTAAGAAAGATAAAAGCCGCCGAGCCTTAAACAAAGATGCAAGATGATGAGCCAATTGTAAGGTCAAACTGCAAAATAAAAGCCAACGAGGCTTAACTAAAAATAGAAGCGACGAGCCTTGGCAATCAAAAATAGAAGCTACGCCTCACCCGGAATATAAAAAGTCAACCCAGAGGTTACATTTTTTAGTATTATGCTAGCCAAACGAGGGCAGGTGACAAGGTTTAGGGACAAAGACTGCGTGTCAGCGGCTCATTGGTGCTTTTTTTTATATTTTTTTCAAATTGTCCAATCGGTGTTTGACACGAATCCCCCTTTTAAAAACCTTGTCCCCAAACCTGTTTGTATAGCATATCTCCATTTTAGACCAATGTGACCCTGTTCAACAAGAATAATCCTATAGTTTTAAGGTCATCCAAGCCAAGCCGCCTCGGCCACTTTTAAGAATAGATAGTGGCCACCTATTTCGTTGGATAGCAATTCTATTTGATTTGGATTAGAATCTTAAATGAAAGTCAACATTTAATTTTAAGCACATATTTCATAGGATCCACAAATTTTTAACTTCTTATTTTATCAACTTTTATTAAAATATACTAAAAATCAAATTTTAATCTCTAGCAAACCAGTGCCGGCCTTGACTATAGACGGGATAGGTGATTGCCTAAGGCCCTATTTCGGTGAGTACTCCAAAAAAATTATTATTTTTTATTTTACATATATTTTTACATATATATAGGACTCCTTATTTGAAATTGGTCTAAGACTCCCAAAATTTCAGGACCGACCTTGTACCAAACAAGGAATAGACCCTTGTAGTATAACCTTAACGAATAAAGCTTCAAGGGATGGTTATTATCAACTTTTTGAGAGGGTTACATGAAATGCACCGCCGCTTCATCACAAGTTCTTTGTTGTCGGAACTGTCGTCAGCGGAAGACGGAAGCAGAATGAATATCACAAAGATCCATATCAATTATCAAATTGTGAGAAACCAAGACTCGTGAGGGGGAAGGAAAAAAAATTAAGATTGTGAATTACACTTTGATTCCGGTTTAGAAAATACAAATTTAAACTAAAAAAGTAACAAACTTTTGCACAATTATGTATGCACAAGACAACTAATTGTCCGGTATTGTCGGAACGGGGACCGAAGTGCTACTGGTGCGAATGTTTGGGGACTACAAGTGCAAATTTCTCTGTAAGGAAAGAGCATTTGCACTTGGTTTCAAGGACACTCAATTACTGCAAATTTTTATATGTTCACAGTTCAAATATATTTCTAAATTAATTTTATGTTTATAATATCCATGTCCGTATCTATACCGAATCATTTTTAGTCATATCCCCCAATCCTAGATTTTTGAGAAAAAATTTATCCCGACTCCTCTATATATACCCATATCGAACACCCACTCCTGAGACCAAGGAACATAGCATCAAAGATGCTCATTTATTGAAATTTCCTAGCATCCAATAAAATACAAGACAAGGAGTTTGAAGTCAGAAAACACAATGTATAAGCCAGGGTTTTGTCCAAACAAAACTCAGTGATAAAATGTACATATCAATTTTCAAGATAAAATCCATTAGAAATGCAGTGAAGAACCCTGTTAAATTTATTGCATCCCATTCCACGTATTTGATGTAGAAAAATTTGTCAGCTAACCTCAGCCTCGGCTTCTGAACCTTCGCAAGCCTTCACGCTTTCCTTTGCAATTTAGCTTTGCACCTCCTCTGTGACGAAGAACCCTCGTGTTCTGCCCTTCTACTTTTGTACTTGGAATCCTCCACTGGCTGTTGTGATGGTCTAGCAGTTGGGGTTGCTAACTCGTGAGGGCGTTTCAACCCCTGAGAAGGGAAATTCCATTCAGAAATGAAGAGTAATTACTCAATTAAAATAGATATACTCCTGGAAAGATAACTTATTTCACAATAATATGACATGCTTCTAAACATTTATAGGAAAGAAAATAAAGAGTTAGCTATGAACGACTTTCTCATCTTCCGACTAAGAAGTAAGTTAGATCTGATTATTTGCCTTACACTGATTAATTAATGGAAAAAGGCCAAACCAAGTTATTTGCAAATTATGGATTTACCTTTTCTTTATACCTCATCTCCCTCTCAGGGTCGATGTCAGCAGTGAAATTTTTTACTTTGTTCACTTTATTATTCCTTGCACCAACATCAGAAGTTGAGGAGGAAGGCATAAGTTGCATCCTCTTTAATATTCTCCCTTGAGATTGGAAAATTCCCTGTAAATTTGGCATAAAAAAATCAAAACTTAGAGTTGAAGATAATGGTTATTACTATGTATTGAAATTTGGAAACACCAAATAAGATATTTTTTAAGTGATGATAAATCGTGACCCATGCCAGCTATTTGAGAAGCCATAAAATTGACAACATTATTTGCTCTTGCTGATGAAAACGTGATTAAGGTACCTCTTCAGTTTTGAGAAAAGGTGTGTTTGGATGTCTTGCATGTCTTGCTCAAATACATCAAAAGATTTATTTCCAATGTACAATTGCAGGCTGTCATCTTCCCATGTTACAAAACGAGCATTGCTTTCAACCTACACTAGATTTAATTCGTAACAGTATAGAAGCATGACAATCAGAAAATATGCAATTTTGCTACCCATTCGCAAAATGAGGTTCAAAATAAAATCAGTTTGGAACTCAAGATCGTGGATAAAAGTTCAGATAACTTTTTATTTGAAAGGTACCAAAGTTCAGATAACTGAAAATATAATTTCAAGGAAACCCAAAGGTATACTTCACCTACAAAATGAGTCTACATTAAAATAATGTAGACCTTTTTAAACTGAGTTCGTCTAAGCATCTATTATATCCTACACAACTAAAAGTCACAATAAAGATTACCAAAATTCATAAGATATTATATAAGCCCTGTTTGTCATCCTTTACGTTTTTCCCATTATTCTTCTACACTACTTATTTTTAACCACACATTCTTCGTTAAAATAATATTATACGCAAATCAAGAAATTTTTCTTTTTTTTTAACCATACATTCTCCATCAATCACTATTCCACAATGCATTTCTTCAAATTAATGTGGCTCAAATAGGGCCATAGTGAGACATGAATATGGTTACAAGATTTCTTAGTTGATCCATTTTGTTTTATCAAACATTAGATCCATTGTGATCGAGACGGAGTAGTAAACACAAATCTCTAATATCACTTCTATGATTTCAATTAAATTGATGTTCAAATGTCTCACACTTCTAGGGTTTCTTTCTGCCCCTTCCTATCTTGAACATAAAGTTCTTCAACGTGGTCGAAGATAGCTCTATAACTATAAATTTATTCATATAGCGTAATTCCACACAAAAAAAGAATCGTGATGCATACGACATAACAACAGACAACCGACATTGCGCTGCACTGGTCATTTGACCTCACATGTGCAACAATGTGAAACAATTTTATGATTATGACATGAGGGTGACATTTAGGAAGAATAAGACCCAACTTATGGACCAGGAGAAAAAATGGAGGTGGGAGCAAGCGCATGACAAGAGAGAATTGAAATAACAAAATTCCTAATAATATTATGTTAATTTGTGATAAGTGTAGTTTCTACACTTATTCGAGGTACTAAAAGATAACATTTTACTGTTCTTTGGATAAAATACTACCTAACATGTGTTATATTTCATTTTGTAAGTAAAACTCGATTTTTTATTAGGAATTGGAGAAAAGAATGCAAAAATAGTAAAAAGGACGAAATCCAAAAATCGAGGACTAAATTGCAAAAATATATAAATGAAACGAGCAACGAAATGAAGATTGAATATGCCAAGGATTTAATTAGATACAATTGGAAGATAAAGGAACAAAATTACAAGAAAAATGGCTGAAATGAAGCAAATCCAAAGTTCGGGGATTAAAGTGTAAATACTCAAAAGTTGTGTCAAACCTTACGATGAAGATTCGACGGTTTTAGGGTCAATCAGATGAGGAAAGAAGTCAATGGAATGAATTATAGTCAAAATATTATCACATATCAACTTTCAGACGAAAAAATTATTTGATACCAATTTTTGGCATAGCAAACGTTCGAATTGAAAAAATGATATCTCTAGAAGAATTATAGCCTTTGCGTTATCTTTCCAACACATTTTGAATCACTTCAATCAGAAATCAAGAAAGAAATATATGACAAAAATACTGAAGGCTGTCCGATGGGAAAAAATTATACCTAAGATGCAACTGCATCTATGCCTCCAGAACTCTCGGGTCCAGCTATGGCTTCTTCTATACGTTCGGTTCCATTTATACTATGCGGCCGCATAGTCTTTTTCGAGGCAAGATTTTAAATCTTTTCCAATTGAAACTCTACTTTGGTAACAACATTTTGGGTTTTCTTTAAATACCATAATTTGTCCAGATTGTGATAGAATTTTACAGACCTAAAATTCTCTATATTTCATCTATTTTGGAAGCGAAAAATAAGTCTATACATCAATTCAAGGCGAATCATACAAGGATTTTGAAGATTCATATCCCGATTTCAAAATTTGAACTAAGAACGTGGATTTTTTCTACTTCCATCTATCTGATCTCCGGATTATGTTTTTTCAATTATTCTTGTGTAATTTAACTATAGGAATGTTAGGCTAAGTTTTTCATGGTATTGGACATATGATAAACCCTATTATTTGTTTATTTTAATTTAAGACAATTAATTTATTGTTTCATGATTTTTCTTGATTGGTTTTGCATTCCCATTAAACTATTTAATTGCTTCATCACCAATTAGATAGTAAGTTGCTTGTTGTACAGTAGGAATACTCACAATAAGTCTAGAACTCGACAAAATCAACACATGGACAATAGGTATTAGGAATAATATCTATGTCATGTACAATCATGTATGATAAATTTTGTAAATCAATGCATATTTTTCATATGAATTCGGACTAGGAATAAGATCTGGTCGTATTAAACATAGGTTTAATATATCTTGGAAAAAAATATTAAATAAAAGTGGATTACCGATTGTATTAAATGGATGAGTTTACTAGATTACGATTTAAGAATTAAATAAAATGGCGATAGGGGGATTCACGATTCCAATACAAACATTCACATATTAGATAAATGCTTTATTTACTTTCTTAGTTTAGGATTAATATAGGAAACAAACAAATCACAACTCTTTTGATGTCACCAAACTTCGAATTTAATAGTAACCATTAAATTACAAATTAGACCGTATTTCTCGTGAAAACGACACTCTTAACTCACAAATCTTATCATTTGTACAATGATTCCGTACGCTTGCAGTTTCACGCGAACAATTTGCCTTAGAAAAAAAAATCAACTAGTTGTTGTGAAGCAAGTGGGCAATTCTCTGGAATTCACGACGACTCAGGTCTGAATTGAACACATATACATAGATTTCTTAGTTATTCTTTAAATCTTTTCTTCTACCTAACAGCCAATTAGTCAACAACCAGTTGATCTATGTGCAACCCAAAGGACAAGACTCAACCAATTTAGTCATTTCTTTACTTTGTCTGTTCTCTCCATTAGACATTCTTTCTCCATAATGCTTAGTACTATCCCATTTCTTTATTTTCTATGACCAGCAAAGCAATAAAAATTGTATTGTTGTGCCACCTTGGAGCATCATATAGGTGGGTTTACTATGAAGCTAGATATGGAGTTTGTCAAATCACAAATTTGTGATCGTTAGGCCACTAGGGGACATGGTATGACCAAATTGCTAATCATAAGTGGCGACTTTTACAACCCAGATTTAGACATTAGACCACATCATTCTTCTAATAAGTGCAATTGGAAATTCTATCAATACATGGATATTGGTGCAAACAATCTCAATTCTTTCCTGAAAAACTCCAGCTGCACTTCCAATTGAGTCTTACCCACAGAATATGGATATATGAAGAGTTGATCAGAGTTTCATGATCATGCATGCTTGTGTGCTAAATTGGTAATAAAAACAGACAAATCAACTTACAGACGTTGTGCCATCAGGATTTTTGACAGCCCTCCATTGAATCATATTTTTGAAAGGGATATGCCTTCTAAAGAGATTAACGTTCAGTAACCCATAGTTATGGACAATGGCTATGGACTATATTTGGACATATCAATTATGGGAATCATATTGACAGATTGTGATTATGGCAGATTGACATTTTGCCTTATACATTATTTTTGTAAATATCCTTTCTGTATATACACTACAAGAAAAATGGCATTTGGCAGCATATAAATGGCAACATTCACCAATTGTATGTTGCTAAAAGGGGTTATTGCAACATTCAGCAAATGCATATTGCCATTGGTTGAGAAAATGAAGATTTAGCAACCTTTTTTGAGTGGTTGTTGCTAATACACCTTTTCACAACGTTCAAAGGCCGTTGTTGTTTTTTTTTTTGGCAACGTGCAATGCACGTTGCTTTAGATGTTTTAGCAACGTTCTTTGAACGTTGCTGTTAATTAGTTTCAGCAACGTTCATTGAAAGTTGCCGTTAACAAGTTTTGGCAACGGACAATGCACGCTGCTGTATATTTTTTAGCAACGTTCATCGAACGTTGCTGTTGGTTGGTTTTAGCAACGTTCAGTGAACGTTGCGGTTAAGTGTCTTTGGCAACGTTCACTGAACATTGCGGTTAAGTGTCTTTGGCAACGTTCTTTGAACGTTATCGTTAATTTCTTAGTAGTGAATTCGACATTAAAATATAAATCATACAAAACTTGACCCGGACCCGACCCGCACCCAGAACCGAACCCGACCCTTTTAGTTTGTAAAAAACCCAAACCAGCCCTATAATGTCTTCCCTGTCTCTCACTATCGCTCCCTCTCCCACCGCTCGCCGTTCTCACTCTTCCTACCACCGTGAAATCTCCCCGCCACCGCGAACTCTCTTCCAAACAGGTAATTGATGCTGGTTCTTTCTATTGCCTCTCGTGTTCATAGATGACTTGATGTTAGGAGGTTAGGGATGAGATATTTGCTTGCAAACTTGATACTTTTCGTGTCTTCCTATTTGTTCGGTCTGGTGATAAATTGTAAGAAAACAAGATAATTATGTAGAAGACATTTGGTTTTAAAGTCCACGATTTCAGACTAAGAATGAAGAACTATTGGGGATTGATCGGTTCTTGGTTTCGATTCCAAAAAGTTTGATTCTAGTTAAAATTTTAACTTCTATGTGTACCCATTTCAAGTTAATAGTTTCATCTAGATTTTGGAGAATTTTATTGGATATCCAAATTATTTTCCTGATTACTAATTTTGT